CTTCACAGTGTTGAATATTCAATGTCTAAAACTGCAGTTGTGTGTCGTGAATATGTGAGACACAGCGTTGCTTCTCAGCTCAAACTCAGCAAAGAAATGAGTCTTTAAAAGTTTATTACATTTATCCAGCATCAGGTTGGACGATGAGGCAGCAAACACAGACTTATCGGAGCAGATCCACGTAAATAAGAGTTGTCTTAACGTCTCTTTACAGAGTTGTAATGGAGAGCACATGGTGTATTATCACCTTCATTGATTACCTGGTTTGTTTTCAACAGTCTGAAGGTCGGAGTAAGACTCAGAAAGCTTCGGCGGCGGGAAGAGTTGTATCATCTGTAGCTGCTGTGACTTCATGTCAGTCGCACAGGTCAAAGGTCAACCTCTTACCATCAGATCAACAATCTAAAGTGACAAAGGCAGTTAAAAAAAATTGTCCCCAAAACGATCTAGAATTGTAAAAAAGTAAAAATTTATATTCATATCTTGTTAATGTGTTGAACTGCTCTCTATCTTCTATCTACCTTCCTAATTGATTGTAAAAGGATAGTTAACACACGGGATAGTTTCATCCATTTTCCCACATACCTCAGTGGTATACATTCATGCAGACAGTTTTGATTTGATGTGACAAATTGAAAAAATAATTAAGAATCAACTTTTTTACTTGAAACTCTTTTCTGACTGAATTATCCAAAATAACTATGACATTGTTTCCAGAAAGAAACCTTCCTGTTTGTCTAAGTATTGTTGTTACTGGCTGAACTGGTCTGTAAGGTTAAAGAAGTTGTATTGACTGTAACTGTCCCTCCCTCCTCCCTGCCCGTACATTTATCCTGCATCTGAGCCACCGTACAAACTCCCCTTCATCCATTTTCCAGGCAGCACCTCAACCTTACACCTCACACAGCAGCACCACATTAGCATATTACAACAACAGAGAACGTCTCTGAACAAAGTAGTTAGCGACCCGTGCGACCTCAGCCTCTGAAAAGACAACAAAACTTCCCTTTTCTAGCAATTTCCTTTTGGGGGTTGAAGCCAGAGAGCAGCGGCAGGTCAACGAGCCTGCGGCAAAACTTCCACACTGGCAACGTATGAATCATAGAAGCGAGCCTACACACTGCGCCAGGACACTAAACAAACCTGGAGAATGACTCACACCCTTACGTATCATTTGGAACAATTCGATACTGATTAGATAATACTGATGGTGAGCGCTTTCAGCACAACGGCCTTGGAAATGTTTTTAGCTGCCGCCGCGGCCCGATAGTGGTCGAGGGCGAACCGGCGGGCGGGAGGGAAGCGTGGATGTGGGCGGCTTCTCAGAGCCTTTGACTGTAGCTGGCCGCCAAATAATGATGGCTGTTGTGTAACCGTCACTGAGTGTAGACTGGAGGGTTTTGTTTTTTTTTTTTTTTTTTGATACAGGAGGGTCGAGGTGATGTAATGTCTGTGTCTGAGCTGAAGGGTCATATCAAAAAGCTGCCACTAGGAGGAGAGAGCGGACCTAAACTGGCTGGATGTGAGGATGATGGACCGGGTGTAGGCTGATAAGACCAGAGGTGTGAAAATCTACACCTTTACCAGACATTTAGTCTCAGTTAAGAGTCTTAAATGTCTGTTTCTTAAGAAATGAATGAAAAAAAATCTTTCATTTTGGTACAGCACAACGAACGGTGGGATCCAAAGGTCTGATCCACTTTGTGTGGTCTCAGACCTTTGGATCCCACTGAATATGTGCAGTTCTTTTGTTCCACAATCAGCTGCTGTTCGATAAAAACATCATCTAGTCCTGAGTGTAAAACAAGATTAAATAGAAAGAAAAAGAAAACAAAAAAGAGCTCTGTCCTAGAAAAGCATGGAACAAGTAGATTTGTAGAAGGAACCACTGACCTTTTCACTCATTTTTTATAAAATCAGATTTGTAGCACTCCACAGAGTGGACAATTTTTACAGCAAAGGATCTGACGATGATTTCTCAAGTTCTATATACTGTAGTTTTTGAGGTTCTATATTCTTATTACAGAGCTTTTAAGGCTTTGGCACTTTTTAATATTTCCATTCAGGGACTTTCTTTTCTTTTCCTTCCAGAAAATATGTTTTTATTCCAATTCATCAGATCATAAAAATTGGTATAAAAATGTCATCTTTTTAGGAGCTTTTAGTACCTCTTCATCATGAGGATTATATATTATTGTTAAGGAACATGTAATCCTTCAACTAATCTGAAAAAATGCTAAATATAATGGAGGTTTTAATGGTGTTATGACCCCAGATTGTCATTTCTGATGTGCTGCATGTATCACTTGTCAATTTTTTTAGTAGCAGTACTTTTGCTTCGGATGCTCGAGCATATTTTAGTGCTAATATGTCTTCCCTAAGTTAACGATCTTATCACTCTCACCACTGACAAATTTATAAATCAATACAAACATTGTGATTTCAGGGTATCAGCTCCACTTTGTTTTGAAGAATCGTCTTTCACGGCACTTTAAAGTGAACCTTTTTAGGTTCGTCCTTCAGTATCTATGACAAAAAGGAGCATTCAGTCCATAGAGATGTTGTCACTCTTTCAAAGACTGAACTTATGTTTTATCTCTTTAAACATGACAGGATTCATGTCTCTTGTCAGTCATACCATAAGAGGAGCTGTCACTTTTTTTTTTTCTCCAGATAGTAGGATATGTCATTTCAGTTTAGCACACCTGGCTGCTGCAGCTGGATTAAAACCACCAAAGGTCAAAGATGTTTGACCTGGTTTTTTTTTATGGAAAAATCCAGGACAAATATGCGGTCTTCAGTTGAAAATGCATGCACTGAATGCATTTAACACTGTAAGAAATACAATTCATGGAAGAAGCTTTTGGGTTTACATGTCTCAAGTTTCAACCTGAATCCTTTGCTTAATAATACAAAGTATATCATCATCTTGTATTCTACCATGATATAAGTCCTGCCATTGTTTTGTCCCAAATGATAAATATGAGCAATAGAGGATGTAGAAGTCACCTCCTGTCAGCGTCTTCGCCCCGGTGAGTGACGAGGTTATTTACAGGCTTCAGAGTCGATGTGGTGTCTTTGTGCACGAGCGGCCCCGGGTGCCAGAGGCCGACAGATGGATATGTGATCAAGTCAACATGAGTGATTTTTCCCTCTTCATCACACACAGACTTTGCCTGGGCCGGCTGATGAATCACTTCATAGATGTGACAAATATATCCACCTCAGAGGAGGAATAATGCTCAGAAAAATGAGTCGGTGCGTGGTGTGGAGTCTCTTTGTCTGCTCAGGATTTAGATTCAAATAACACTCCAAAGCAGATCTTATGTGGACTATAGTAGCTGTTACAGTATAGACCAGGACAGCACATAATCGAGGTCATAACAAAAGTAAGAGGTTTTGTTATTTTCTTTTTTTAATTCAAGCACTCACCAAGTTTCCCCCCGGGGATCATTAATTTGACCCGGTCTAATTAGTTTGTTATTGCACCTTAAACATTAGAGTATAACATTAATGCTGCATAAAAACCTGGTGGATGTGAGTTCGATGCTGTTTGTGTTTTTCTTTCATACACTGACCTCAGGGCCCGAGAAACCCAATTAAAAAGCCACAACAACAGTTAGAATAACTGCATGGCTGGGAATGTCAAGCGACAGCTGTTTATCTAAAAGGTTTTTTAATTTCTTTATTTTTCATTTTAGGTAAATTGGGGCCAGTGTAGAAGCCTCTGCTGCTGGATGGAGTTGATGATTAGAGAAATGTCGATCAGAAAATTGTATGGAGAGAAAACCTCTGTTAGATGTAACTTCACTTAGGTTAAATATCACTATACACGTGAAGGACTTTTAAAATATGAAAATGAGTAATGACATGTTATTGTATGTGGTGAAATTCTGCACAAAAGCCAGTAATTTTTTTTTACTGAATCTGAAGAGGCTCACCCCACAGCCTGCAAAAACACACTCAAAACCCACAATGAAAGTGCAGAAATTTAATTCCATCAACCTGAAACGAAAAAACCACTTTTCTGAAAACCTGAAAACATTCTGAATGTTTTGTCTGCCATCAGCATTAGGACAGGACCTGCTCCATTACTGATGTCACCATATTTTATAACAGCGTTGTTACAGTAGCAGTCACTTCCTATAGCAGCTCACAATGCGTCCTGGAGGGGGGCCTGGTAATATATCTTTCCTGCTGGGCCTTTAGTCTGAATTACAGCAGGAAAAACAAAAGGTTAATCACATTGGGAGACTCCGCTCTGCCTCTGACCACCCAGCGTCTCTCTGTGTTTCCCTCACTATTTCAATTCAAGCTGCTTTATTGGCATGAATGTTGGATGAACAGGGGGGGCTTGGGGGTGGGGGTGTGGGGGGGGGCACCTTCCAAAGCACCTTGAAAAACAACAGAGATACCTCTGCGGCCCCTTCCTGCCCGTGTCGTCGTCTTCTCCTTTCCTTGTGTCGCCGTCCCACTTTCCGTTCCCCTCAATTTACATCTACACGACTATATATGCGTTGCAATTACCATGCGTCGAATCAAAATGTAAATGCATCATAAGCCAGGCTGCTGGAAATGCATTCGCTCGTCGGAAAATCACGTATCAGAGCGTCCCTCTTGTTGATGGCCAAAATCTTCTCATCCCCCCCCAATCCCCTTCTCTTCATTTCCCAGCGTGCTTAAATGCCGGCGGGCACATTACATTGAGATTCAAGAGGTTATCTCACAGTAGTGATGGGGATTGCAACAGCCTAAAGGATCGCCACAGGTTAAAGCTTTTTTTAAAAATATTTATTTATTTATTTTTCCAAGCGTACACGTATGGCTGAGCTTTAATGAGCACAACTGCTTTTCTCCCTCCGTCTGAAAAACAAAACCTCACCGCCGTGGAAAATAGATTCTGAGGATGTCTTTTGTGAAGCTTCTAACTCTGTATGTGTGTGTGTGTGTGTGTGTGTGTGTGTGTGTGTGTGTGTGTGTGCTTGTGGTTTTAATTACAGGGTGGTGGGCCCCGCTGTGACCTTCAAAGTGAGCCCGAACACTCACAACGTCAGCACCACAGATGTGGTCAACGTGGCCGGTAGGTTCTCCTTGGCTGAGTAATGTTGTCTTTATACTGACAGAGAAAAAGACAGGCCATTATCATTGGCTCGCTGCTGCACCTGAGGCCCCAGATAAACGTTTTTCCAAACTTATGACTCCTCAGTTTTTCTTTTGTTTTTTTCTTCTTCCCTCTGAGAATCATCTTATACCCACACTGGAACTTCATGGCAAGTTTTTTCTATTCCTTTGTGATGAGTTTGGTTTTAGTTTGGATAATTCTTTTGGTATTGGCCCATTTTGAAAGGAAGCCAGCAGCAAAGGAAGCCATGTTTGGCTCCATAATGGAACGCCATCGGAGCGTTGGATGTGTGCCTAAAAAAACTAGCAGGAAAGAAAGAGACACCAGAAATTGATTGTGTTTGGGAAACGACTCAGTTCATCAATGCATATGTAAATATAAAAGTAAAAGTCGGTAAGGTAGAGTTTTCTTACAGTCTTTGTTGAATCCAGTTCACTTAGCTAATAGGCACAAGCAGCTATTGGGCAAGCTAGCTTGTTAAGTCAGTGTTAGCTGATTTAATAAAACAGCTAACAACTTAAAAAGGGGATTGGAAGCAGCACGGAACTTTTTGAACAGCCCCACTTCCCTATCACACCAAACTTGTTGCCACTTGTTTACACGTTAGTCTGATTTCTCACAGTCATGCTCCACCCCAAAAATATTTCATCAGGAAATACATCACATTAAAGAAATAAAGATACAATGCAGCCCTTCATTTCAATTTGGCGTGACTACCAAAGCTGCCTTGTGTTAAATATGTCAGCTAATAATTTCTGAAATGAAATCCGGGGACATTTCCAGTATGACCGTCAGTATATCATTATAATATCCAATGTTGTTATTTATGAAATAAAAAAGGGGGACAGTTCCGGTTTCGTGTGTTTTGACCATGGTAACTGTTGTATTGTAGAAATGATAAAACTCTTTGCACTCTTAACAGTTCAAGATTTACTCACTATATTTATAGATTATATGGTAGCCTACAACTACAAGCTACCTATGACCTGGTAGCATCATTACTACGTCCGGTAACCCCGCCCCTGATTCTGAGCACGGGTCCCCTCCTGGCTTGAAAAGATGTTTGTGGTTACGCAGTGGATTCAGAAATTTCTAGCTGAGTTCTGCACAGCAGTTTTCTCTAAAACCAGGCGAGCAGGTGGTTAGTGGTAGAACAAAGGTGATATGAAGCTGCTATAGTGAGCAAGCGCAACACGAGACATCTGCCTGTTCTTTCCATCTGGTCTGTTTTTAATTAGTTATAATTAATAAAAATGGGGGCATTTCCGGGGACAGCTCCAGCCAGGAACAGGCCACCAAAACTGGGACTGTACCTTGAAAACGAGGGCGTCTGGTCACCCTAAGCGAATGTGCTACCGCCCCAGGAAGCCCAAAATGGCTTCCCCCCGCAGCAGCAGTCTGAGGCTGGACTTGTGATGAACGGAGCTGGAGATCCAGCCCGACCTCTTCAAAATCTCACTGAATCTGATTGTTGTTTTGTTTTTTTTTTCAGTTATGAGTTAGCTCACACTCGGCTGTGCCAGAACACAGCTGATTGTGCTCACACATACTGTGAGTGATTGTAAGTCATTTGGAGGAATAAAACATGATTCACTCACTCTGAGTTTTTAAAGTTTCGCTGATTGGAGAATGTTAATCAAAAAAAAAAAAACAAAGTGAAGGGCACAGTTACATTGAACATACATATTTGGAAGTGGTTAACCCAGTGGTTGACCCAGACTAAGGAAAGTTTATTGTGAACAATCATCTTTGCTTTAACCACCTTGTCTCATCTGAATCATGTTTGCCAAGAGAAACATATCCAGTGAAAAACTGGAACACAGTAAAATGAAAAATAATAAAGCAGCACTCCAGTATCAAAAGAGACAGATGAGCAACAAAGGATAAATCTCTACATGCATGGTGCAGAATAACAGCAGCATCTCACAATAGTAGTGCAAAAAACATTTTGTAAAGGACCTTTGTAAAGGATTCAATAAGTAATACTCAATGAGACAGTGTTAGTCTTTGTTCATGGGGTTCTTAGCATTATATTCAGTGTGTTTACATGCACTCTTGTATTTCAGGTTGTTAGACTCTCATTGTTATGGTTCGTGTGGTTTCAGAAACTTGGATAAACCCTAATCCTGGTTTTTAGAAATCCACATATACGAGCTGCAGTATTCCAGATAGATGAGCTGGGATGTTGGGGCCTGTAAACATGCTATCAGTGTTCGTGTTCGCTGTCTGCCATGTGTGCAGGTGTATAATAGTCGATGCAGGTGTATAATAGTCGATGCAGGTGTATAATAGTCGGTCATAACAAAAAATGTTATGATAAACGTATGGTACGTTCTCTGTGATCATGTGGCGAAGCTAAAGCCAGCCGGATGCATGTTCCTCGTAAACATCATGTTGTGATCAAAAGCAGGACTCAAGAAAGACTCAAAACCAGGAAAATAATACGCATGTGGTCTTATTCATTGTGAGGTTTTCTGGGATTTTGTCTACCACCTTTTTTTTTCCCCATCTGAAGCGAATGACGACAGTTCCTCAGCGATTCTGTTTCAAGATCCTCCGAGTCAAAATGTCTCAGACCTGCCTGTTCTGTGGCACGCAGAGGGACTCTGTAGTAATCTCTCAGGTGTGTGTGTGTGTGTGTGTGTGTGTGTGTGTGTGTGTGTGTGTGTGTGTGTGTGTTTGTGTGTGTGTGTGTGTGTGTGTGTGTGTGTGTGTGTGTACCGGGCTACAGTGTGACTCACGGTAATGAGGCGAGGGTGTTGATGAAGTGGGGAATAAAGAGAGGAGGAATGTTTGCCATTAGCCAAGCTGTCAGTCCAGTGAGAGAGAAAGAGAACTGTCCTGATATTCCCTGGGCCCAGTTCCTGATACACACACACACACACACACACACACACACACACACACACACACACACACACACACACACACACACACACACACACACACACACACAGAGGCTCCAAATCACCTGCACTGGGAAATTGGCCCTGTCAAAATAACTTACATGAGTAGCTCACTGTCTGTTTTTTTCCCGACATCTTATCCCTGCTTGATAATTGCAACCCCACCTCCTTCACACACGCACACACTCTCACTGTTTTTGTCACCCACCCACCCACACGCACGCACACAAACACACACACACACACACACACACACACACACACACACACACACACACACACACTCTGTGCTGATTATGCAATAGCTTCTCTCCTGTTTTTAAGTGCTATTGTTGCTGTCGGCTCCCGCTTGCTGTGCGGGGTCACGGATGAGCCTCGGTTGTTATTAATGCAAACATTTGACAGAACGTGCTCGAAATGAAATATGGCGTCCTCTCAGCTAAAGTGCAATAGTGTGGGCGGGCCGTCTTTAAAGTGTCGTTTGTCATATTCAACTAGAATATCAATCCATCCCAAAGCGTACATTACCCCTCCCACCCCCCCGGCTGGGGTTTATAGTGCTTTTCTGAAACATTAAGCTTTACACGGCCATTGTAACGACGACGTTTTATCATCATTTAAAGCCGCTCGGCAGCCGATGCCAGAGAGTGGACGTCCGTCTCCTCTGTCACAAACTTGTGTGTTTGGGTGGAAAGCTCATGGCAGCTGTGTTAAAAATAATTCAGTTTTATTTGATTCAGTCTCCACGAACACATCAGTGAGACGTCAGAGAAATGTTTAAACCGGGAGTTATGCTGGAGGAACGAATCAGATTCTGGAGACTGTAGTCTGCGGTGCTGTCCAATCATATGTTTCTAATATTCAGGAAATTTGTCAGCGAACGTGACATCACAGCGGACAATCCATTCACATAAACACACAAGGCCTGTCAAGTCTTCATAGTCACTATTATGTATAAATATTATATTTATTAATATTCTCAGATTTTCATCCCATATTTTTGGTTTCATATTCTATTCTGTCATTAATACTTTCCCGAAGGGCGTCTCATAATTATTAAGATAAATGTAGCTATACAGTCTTTATAGAGGTCTGTGATACCCTGTCCAGGGTGTGCCCCGCTCTCGCCCAGTGTCAGCTGGGATTAGCTACAGCCCCCCCCCCCGCCCCCCCCCCCCCCCCCCCCCCCCCCGGCAACCTTAAAAGATAAGCAGTACGGCTAATGAATGAATGAATGAATGAATATGGTAAGTGCAATAATTATTTATACCATATACATCTGTATTATCTATATTGTAATTATTATTATCAGTATTAGCAGCTCAGAAGTAGTTATTAGTAAAATTTACATATAAATTTGAGTAAAAGTACTTATTATGGCCCATCTGCTCTTTTATACTGTATATTATATTATTGACCTGATGCATTAACATGTATGTAACATTTAAATGTTGTAGGTGATAAAGTAGGACTAAATTTGAACCTCTTTAGAAATGATTTGAAATTTATCTTTATCTGTTTTTCTGCACTAATGGATCAGATCTAAAGCTGATAATATGTTTGTATGTAAAGTCTATAGTACAAAGTATAAAGTAGTCTAAAACACACGACTGGAGTAAATATACCTAAATAAATGTGGCTATATATACTATATTTCTACTGTAATACCGAACGTGAGGCCAGTTGTGGCTGCAGCCTCGCAGGAGTCGTGTCTCCTCCTAACACCGGATCGATTGTGACCCCGGCCTCCAGGTGCCACAAGGTCCGATTAATGCAGCCAGGCCTGCCAGACCCGGTGCTGCATTTTAAGGAGCCATGTTACCACTTCTGTCACGCGCATCCGCCCATTGTGAGGGACTCCGGGCCCACCGGGGGCCATTGTCAAACGTGGGGGTGGATGTCAAGATGGTGGGCAGCGAGGTGGTGACCCCCATTGTCTGGCCAAGGGTGGGCGGGGGACCCAGAGGCTACTTCCAGCGGTGCGTCACGGCCGTGAGAACGGGACCCCGTGAATAGGGCCGCGGGTCAGGGTCAGGATAGCGGGCAGCTCAA